GATTCCTGTTGAGCTACAAATCCCCAGGGATGGGTAGCACTTCAGACTTTCATCAGCTGTATATGCTTTACTGTGAATGCACTTTGAGGTTTTGTTTTTTTTCTTAAAAGTGGCTTTTGATGGATCTTAAGGAAGGTAATGATGAAAATACTGAATTCCCTGGATAGAGAAAGGGCTGGGCTGTTGAAAGAAGAAAAAGAGACTGTAGAATCAGAGACCAGCGATGAATTTTACTGAGCAATTTTGTGTAAGATTTAAGATACTAGAATAGACCATATTTTTGTACCTCTAAATTTTACAGTTTAAATTTAATGAAGGCAAATTGGGCACCAGTTCTTTTAAAGAACTAACTGTAAGGGATCAGATCAAAACCAGCAGCTCTGAAGGTTAGATGGGAAGCTTGAGCACAGTGAATTCATGTTAATGGGGGAGGAATAATTCCCAAAAGGAGGGCAGCATTGGTTCCACAACGTGGAGAATGTAATAACACTACTGAATTGTATGTATGAAAATTGTTGAATTAGTGTATGATCAGCTGTGTGTATTTTCAACAAAAAATAACTTCTGAAAGGGCAAAATATATTAAGACAAGATCATACAGGGGAAATATGTTTTCATACATTAATTACCATCTCTAAGTAGGTTGGCTCTCTGTGTAATTAGCTTACAGTACCCCTCTGCCCTCTGTAGGACCCATCACCGTTTACACTTACGTGGATGTTGATTATTTATCTGCTCCACCAGGAACTCAGTCTGTTTTATTCAGTAGTATATCCCCCCCACCTGACAGAACCCATCGCATAGTAATAGTAATATAATATAATAATAACCCATCATAATAATAAATGGATGGGGACAGGTGAGTGTTGTTTTTCTTTATTGAGATTTTAATCAAAGATTATAGAGAACTTGAATTTCCGTTCATTCATTGTTGCACCTTTTCTCCGTAAGTGCCCCTCCCCCAGTTTGCTTTTCTCTTTGAAAAGAAAAAAAAATAATCTTCCATTGTTAAAGTGTATGCAGAGCAGATTATCCGAGAGGCTGGGCTCTATGAGGAGAATTGTGGCATCAGGATTGGTGGAAGATCTATTAGCAATCTCCGTTATGCAGATGACACAACCCTGCTTGCTGAAACTGAGGAGGACCTCATGCACTTGCTGTGAAGGGTTAAGGACTGCAGCCTTCAGTATGGACTTAGGCTCAATGTCAAGAAGACAAAGATTCTCGCCACTGGACCAATTGGCAGCGTCAGGATGGATGATGAAGAGATTGAGAGTGTTCACAGCTTCAGTTTGCTCGGCTCCACAGTCAACACTCTTGGCACCAGCAGTCAGGAAATCAAAAAGCGTATCGCGATGGGACAGTCTGCTGTTAGGGACCTCTCTAAGGTACTCAGGAGCAACAGTGTCTCTCTGGAGACTAAAGTGCACCTGATACAGGCCATGGTATTTGCAATCGCTTGTTATGCTTCAGAGAGTTGGACAGTGACTAGGGAGGACAGAAGGAGAGTGGATGCTTTTGAGCTGTGGTGCTGGAGAAGGGTACTGAATGTACCCTGGACTGCCAGGAAAACAAACAGATTCATCTTGGAGAGGATTAAACCAGGCTACTCCTTGGAGGCAAGGATTCTGGGACTTCGTCTGACATACTTTGGACATGTTGCCAGGAGGGACGGGTCCTTGGAGAGGGACATCATGCTTGGGAGGGTGGAGGGACAGCACAGGAGGGGAAGACCCTCTATGAGATGGATTGATTCAGTGACTGGGGTAATCGGGATGGGTGTGTCAGAGGTGGTGCGGTTGGCGCAGGATAGAGCAGGGTTTAGGGCTGTTGTGCATAGGGTCGCTATGAGTTGGAAAGGACTCAACGGCACATAACAACAACAATTGTTAAACAATCTCCCCCCAGTCCACTTTACTATGCAGTTCCTATTCTGGACTTTTGTCATGCATATAATACTTAATCATATATCCCTTTTACACAGTTCTCTCCCTGATCTGTTTCAGTGCAGTATACATAATTTATCCCCTCTGTTCTTAGTTCCCCCCCCAACCCCACTGTCAGTCCTCTTTTTATAACAGTGGCACTATGCAGTATTTGTCCTTTTGTGACTGAGTTATTTCACTCAACATAATGTCCTCCAAGGTCACCCATTTTGTATAATATTTCATGAGTTCCTGTTTTTCAATGTAGCATAGTATTCCATTGTGTGAATATACCAGAGCTTCTCTTTCCATTCATTTGTTAATGGGCACTTGGGTTGTTTCCAGCTCTTTGCTACTGTGAACAAAGCCACAGTAAACTTGGGTGTTCATATTATTTGCTTGGATGTCAGTTATGGTCTCTTTGGGGTATATTCCCAGTAGTGGAATTGCTGGGTCGAATGGTATTTCTGTTTGCAACTTTTTGAGAAAGCACCAAACCGCCTTCCACAGTGGTTGTACCATTTTATATTCCCACCAGCAATGAATAAGGGTTCTAGTTTCTTTACAATCTCTCTAGTTTGAGAGAGTTATTTTCAAGGGACCTGAGCTAAAAGCCTGCAGTCTGGCCTTTCTTTGGCACTAACCATCATTGTGTCCTCACATCAAGCACTTCCCCACCCTGTGTAGCAGTCTCCTCATTCATAACAGGAGATAATTAGCCTGAGTGAATGTTCCTTGACTATAAATCCAAACATAGGATGATGAGGCTGATGGGGTTTTCTAATAGTCTTTAATTGCGGAAATGTTGATGGAAGAGCAGTTGTGGTAACGAACAGTTGACTTTGAAGATTTTCACAAATGTGCACTCTCTGACTCTCTACCTTTGACAAGAGTGAGAGTCGGGGTTTAGGTTTCTCAGAGACAGGAACCTCAAGCCTTGCTTAAGTCATGGCTTTAATTTATCAGCAAACAACCCCCCCCCCCCTTCTGTTGTTTTTTTTGTTTCAGTAGAAACAGTGAAAAGCACAGGCTGTGTGTTCAAATTCCATCTCCTTTTCTTACTCATTGTGTCCCCTTGGGCAGATTGCTTGACATCTCTGTCTCAGCAATCTTCCCAGTAAAATAAGGACAGTAATTATCCCTGTCTCATAAATGAGCTATGGTGACCAAGTGGTAAGAAGCTGTGCTGCAATCCTAAAGGCACATGATTCAAATCCACCAGCTACTCTGTGGAAGAAGGATGAGCAGTCTCCTCCTGTGTGATTAACTACTTCTAAAAACCCACTAGAGGGTCAGCTATAGATTGGTTCCAACTCAAAGATACACAACAACAACCTCATGGATAAAGAGTGGAGAACTGAGTACCTGTGAATTGTGTCATGAACATCAATAGCTGTTACACACCAGAGCACCTCAGCCTAGAGCCCAGCATGCCTGCCTCCCTGTCTGCCTCAAACAAAGCTGGCTCTGCTTCTGAGCACACTCGAGGCCCCCAGCTCAGTCTCTTTCTTCAGCCCATCCTAGAACCTCTTAGAGGCCATTTACCTCACATAACAGGCTGAGAGGGAATAATTGAGGTCTCATTTTATAAATAGGGAGATTGAAGTTCTATAAGATTAAGCATCTTTCCTCACTTCACCTGGTAAGTAGGTGGCAGAATTGTGTTCAGGACTCACACCCATCAGTTTAAATATTGTGTATGACCCAGCTATCCCACTACCAGGAATATACCCCAAGAAAATTAGAACTGAGACACAAATGGAGATCTGTGCACCAGTGTTCATGGTAGTGTTATTCGCCATTGCAAGATCTTGAAAACAGTCTAGATATCCAACTACAGCTGAATGGATTGAGAAATTGCGGTACATTCACACAATGGAATACTATTCAACATTTAGGAGCAACAATTTTGAAAAGTACTTTATAACTTGGGAGAGACTGGAGAGCATTATGCTGGATGAACTAACTCAGTCTCATAAGGACAAATACTGCATAAGACCATTATTGTAAAAATAGAAGGATAAAGGGAGCTCTGGTGGCCCAAGTGGCAAGAAGCTACATTGTAATCCCAGAGGTACACGGTTCAAATCTACCAGGTACTCTGCTGGAGAAGGAGGGACAATCTCCTCCTATACCAGTCAGATCCAATTTGACGGTATACACACACACACAAATAAAATAAAAATTAAAAAAAATAGAAGGATAACTAGGAAAACATGTAAGGGGGAAAAGGGTGGGAGCAAAGAGGTGAGGATGGGTAGGGGCAAAACCACAAGGTTTCACAGTTTGGTGGGCGAAGGGAATGGGAGGGATCCGGCAGGGACCTGAAAAGATGGGTAATGATGGGCAAGATCCAGTGGTGATTGATTTTGTAAAACATAATTCATGGGAATGATTGGATGAAACACAATATACTTTGTGAGTAAACCAATATAAAATAATTTTCTTTAAAAGTCCAACCTAACAGTTGCTACCATAAACAATCAGGAACAGCCTTGCCTCAATTCTGATGCTAGGAGTGGTACTTCCTGGCTCACAGAGTGTCTCACTCTCCTCTTTGTTGACCCACTCTGAACCTAGCAAGCAAATAGGACTTTGAGGGAACCAAGCCTATGGGAGGGAGGTGACCCGCTCAGCTCTCACAGATGGGAAACAGCACTGGACTCTAGCACTTCTGACCTTGGACCCCACTCTGTTTCCTCTGTGCCCCACTGCCACCCGGGGTGAGTTTTAATCATATTCTTAGCTCCTTAGCTGCCACAAGAGGAAAAGGTGTGAAGAGGCACCCAGCTTTGTGCTTCATTCCCTGTGGTAGAACGGAGCCACAATCCGCTGGTACTTGCCTGGATGGCCCATCTGGGAGGGGAGTTGTTCTGCCTCAATCAAGCACTTAATTAATACGGGAGCACAGGGATACTGTGTCATTAACGATCTGTTGGTGCTTGTATGAACTGGACGGTGTTGTTCTCTGCAGGCGTGGGGGCAGGGGTGTGGAGAGAGTTTCAATAAACTGGAAGATTCTTTTTCCACCCTGTTGTCACTTCTGCAGTGATTGAGTTATCTCTCTTGTTACAGGTGGAGAGAGACTTTGAAAGGGAGTATGGAAAACTCCAACAGTGAGTGTCAAACCCCAGAAGGATGAGGCAGGAATCTGATAGGGCAGGAGCCCCCTGCCAGGTGTCACTCCTGCACTGCCACGTTTGCACATCACCTGGTCATATGTACTGAAGTAGTCTGTTAACACCCTCCAAAGAAAGCACTGCTCAGTTCCCTAAACTGCCACCAGTTTGCCTCCACTACCCTCACCCCAACAGATGGTTGTATGGAATTGTTAACTCTTAGGTTTTGGCTGACTTGACTTCATACAGAGTATGTATAGTCACGTTTTAGTCAGTGGGAAAAATCTTATGGAAAAAGGTCCCTTTTCACCTCCCTGGCAAGCAATCCATAATAGCAAGTTGGGCCTAATTACCTTCGATGGGAAGAAAGAGGGCCAGGGAAACTTGGGAATGCTGGATTACCCAAACCTGTGCCTCTTTTGCAGGCTGGAAGACCAGACAAAGAGGCTACAGAAGGATATGAAGAAGAGTGCAGATGCTGACCTGGGTAGGTGGCTCATCCACCTGCAGATGATGTGGGCTGTGGCAAGGCCAAGAGAGAGACTCTTCCCTCAGTCATTCTAAGGGGTCATGTTTAAGTAATGAGTCAGTGCCCACCAGTGTCCCTGAGAAGCGACTTCAGGTTGCCCTTCCATTTTCAGATCACCACTATGTACAAAACTTGGACTGCCCTACTCTTGGTGAAGATGCCAAATGTGAGACTCTTCCAAGTTTCCAGTTAGAATTATGACAGCAGCAGGTCAGGAAAGCACATGGTTGCAAATGCTTCCACTTCCTCAGAATCTGAGCCATTAGCACAGGCTGTCCAGAGACAAAATAACAGCCCATCTTTGCAGAAAGAAAAGTCCCGGAGGCCAGTGAGATTGGCTGGCCATTGATGACAGGAGCTATAGATTCTGATATTTAAGCAAGAAAGTAGATTAAATTGTAGAATTAGTAATATGCTAAGGCATATTTCTGTCATTCGAAGGGCACAGAAAGGTCTTTGGAATTAGGTGTTTTGGTTAAGTGGAGGCTAACACGTGCTAGGCAATACTTAGTAGTTTTGGAGAGGTTTCTTGGCCGCAGATTTCTTGTTTGAAACAAGAGGGATTAGGACCAGGAACCAAGAGGCTTTGAAATATAAATGACCCCAGGAGGCCTTCTCCAAACTGACCTTAGGGCTCAAGGGAAGTAGTAATAGAATCGAAAATCCATCATAAGTCCATTACCCACATAACAATGCTGTCTGATTGTGTAGGTAAAAGAAATTTCACTTAGTTATCTCCTATTGAATTCATTTTATAAAGGAGGAAATGGAGTTTAGTTTAGCCATTTTTCTCCAAAAGTGGTCCCTTGGTCTCAGCAGAAATGCCTGTCCCTGTTCTAGCTTAGTCCTTTGCCACCTGAGTAAGTTCTCACTCTCAAGGCCTTGCCTGTCTCAATACTGACATGACTGCCACATGAGCAAAGTCACAGTATGGGGCAATGCCACTGTCTCCAGGACAGGGAGCAGCTAAGAGCAGGATGCGGGGACCATCCTGATCCTTGGTATTTAAAAAGGACATTTTAGGTGAGCTCTGGTGGCCTAGTGGCAAGAAGCTGCACTGCAATCTCAGAGGTACATGGTTCAAATCCACCAGATGCTCTGCTGGAGAAGGAGGAACAATCTCCTCTATCAGTCAGATCTGATTTGATGGTACACACAAAAAATAATGAAATAAAATTTTTAAAAAAGGACATTTTAATATATCCCTAACAAAGACAATGATTGTAGATTTGTCCTCATGTCAGCCCAGATGTTAAGGCTCGGCCAGTTATATAAACACACACCATTCCTACAGGGCGCTTTGCAAAGCTGATAATGAAGGAAATAGTTATTCTTTCCCTGGGAGCAGCCACTGCTGTGCAGCCAGATAAGAGCTAACTGCCTGTGTGTGGAGTGTTGCCACCTTTGGTCTGTGCCGCAGATTCTGGTGTTGGTGTTAATACAGAGGACTTGGACTCGTCTAAACATGACCAGCACTTCACTCCTGCACTTAGCATGTCCAGACTATTTGTGTAGCAAGTCAAGCATTTTCATCCCAAGTTCATCTGTTCCTGTTTGGAGTTCTTGCAGTCCTGAGTTCTATTGGATTACATCTCTCTTTAGCATTCCCCATGCCTCTTCCAGTAAGAGTGTCACTGTCACCTGCTGCTTCCTTCCTTGCTTCTTCAGATAACTGCAATGTCAGAATCAATGGAGTGAAGATTTCTTGTTTCATAGTGAATAGCTTTGGCATCACGTGGAACTCCAAAGATTCTTGCAGTGAAATCAGACCACAGAAAGTCCTTTTCTACCAAAGAAATCAAGATTTAAGTGGTGACTTCAGGAGTCTAGGAGATGAACCACATAGACAGCCTGAAGGCACTCAGACCTGGAGTCTGAGCAGAAAAGGCTTTTCTGAAGCAGTGGTTTCCTATCCATTCGCAGGGCCAGGGCCCGATGGTCCACACCATTAGATTTCATACCTTTATACTTAGTATCTCTGGAAGGCTTGTCACAACACACATTGCTGGGCCTCCCTCCCAGAGTTTCTTATCCGCCCTTGAGTGCAGCCTGGGAATCTGCACAAATAGGAAGCCTAGTGGTAAGAAGTTGCACTAAAATTCCAAAGGTGGTGGTGGTGGTGTTATGTGCTGTCAAGTCTCTTGTGACTCATAGCGATCCTATGTACAGCAGCCCTAAACCCTGCTCTGTCCTCTGCCAGTCACACTGCCTCTGACACACCCATCCCGATTAGCCCAGTCACTGAATCAATCCACCTCATAGAGGGTCTTCCCCTCTTGCACCATCCCTCCACCCTCCCAAGCATGATGTCCCTCTCCAAGGACCTGTTCCTCCTTACAACATGTCCAAAGTATGTCACATGAAGCCTCAGAATCCTTGACTCCAAAGAGCAGCCCTGTTTAACCCTCTCCAGGATGAATCTGTTTGTTTTCTTGGCAGTCCATAGTACATTCAGTACTCTTCTCCAGCACCACAGCTCAAAGGCATCAATTCTCCTTCCATCATCCGTAGTCATTGTCCAACTCTCTGATGCACAACAAGTGATTGAAAAGACCATGGCCTGTATCAGACACACCTTAGCCTCCAGAGAGACACCATTGCTCTTCAGTACCCCGAAGAGGTCCGTAACAGCAGACTTTCCCATCGCAATACGTGTTTCTTTTTTATTTCCTGGCTATTGGTGACAAGAGTGTTGACCATGGAGCCAGTCAGACTAAAGTTGTTAACAATCTCAGTCTCTTCACCATCCATCCTGATGCTGCCAATTGGTCGAGTGGTGAGAATCTTTGTCTTCTTGACATTGAGCCTCAATCCATACTGAGGGCTGCAGTCTTTGACCCTCTGCAGCAAGTGCTTTAGGTCCTCCTCAGTTTCAGCAAGCAGGGTTTTGTCATCTGCATAATGCAGATTGTTGATAGATCTTCCACCAATCCTGACGCCACACTTCTCCTCATAGAGCCCAGCCCCTCGGATCATCTGTTCTGCATACAGGTTGAAAAGGTATGGAGATAGGACACATCCCTGGCGTACACCTTTTTCAATTTTGAACCATGCAGTGTTTCCTTGCTCTGTTCTGATGACTGCCTCTTGGTCCAAGTATGGGTTTTGCATTAGAACGATCAAGTGTTCTGGGATTCCCATTCTCCACCAGCTGCTCCATGAGAGAAAGATGGACAGTCTCCTCACATGCCATTAACTGCCTCTGAAAACCCACTACGGGTTCAGCTATCGTTCGGTTCCAACTTGATAATACACAACAACAAAAACAGGGTGATGTCAATGGTGCCACTCTGGGTATCACTTTGAGAGTTAGTGATCAAGGTGATTATGGGAAATTTTTACTTTTCCTGGTTTCTTTCTTTCCCCCCACCCCATGTATATGGTACCTTTTTTTTTTTTAACATCAAAACTTTTTTTTTACATTGTTGCACATTCACTTAGCATAATGTCCTCCAGGCTCCCCCCTCCATGTTATGTAATGTTTTACAAGGTTTTTTCAGTGCTGTGTAATATTCCATTGTGTCAATGTGCCATAGTTTTTCTACCCATTCGTTTGTTGATGGGCCTTTAGGTTGCTTTCATCTCTTTGCTGTTGTGAATAACACAGCAATAAACATAGGTGTGCATACACTTTCCTGATTCCTTGAACATCCTAAACAAGATCTAAAATCCTGAACTGCTGTTCCAAAACAAGTTCCTCTCAAACTGATCTGTATCTCTTGGATCTTGTTGACTCTTGGGCTTCCTCAGGGCTCCAGAAGCCTAGATGGGGCACCAAGGCTCTTGTTAAGGTCTAAGATTATCACCCTCTTAGTGTGTCCTGGGCTGACCATGCCCCTAGTCTCTTCAAAGGCAGAATAAAGACTTTAAACTAGCAGGGGGAAATAGAGACCATGGTGATCTTGACCTCAATACTGTGGAGGCTGAAGGTGAGGACTTCACCACAATGGCACTTTGAGACCATGACTTGACCAGTGGTTGCACATACTCAGTTCTTTGACTTGGTGCAACTTAAGGAAAGAAGAGAAGGGACCAAGCACAGAGATGTAAAGGTCTTATGGAAGCATCTTCTCCCCTTCCTCCCACTCCCTTCAAGGCCATCTTAGTTTATTTGGGTTTGGTTTTTTTAAAACTTATACTTAAATAATGCTTAATAATTAAACCAAATTATAAATCCTATTTATGCCTATAAAGTCACTTCACAGATTTTAGAGTAGGTTTGTTGTCGTGTTCCCACCCCCAACTCCAACCCCCGTTTGCTGCAGCATTTCTGGAAAGTTTCCATTTTAGTGCTGCCCCATATTTTGCCCTTTTTGGTGGATTAGGAACCTCTGACTGTGGCATTCTCCTAGATACAAGAGAAACCTAGAGCGACTCTGGGAGTGGCTGCCTGAGGGCTGTCCACGCAAGGTCCACTCTGGCTTCTTTCCCCAGTTGACAGCAGTCTTCATGGACAGTCTGGGTTAGGGCTGCTGGCTGCTCCCGTGTAGGAAAAACCACCTCTGTAATTAACTGTGAAAACCACAAACCCAAACCCACTGCCATCCAGTCCAGCTCCTCGCAGCCCTCCTGTCAGGTTACCTAGGCAGTAAAACTTTGTACGGGAAGACTGCCCATCTTCCTTCTCTGTGCACCTGGTAGATTCGAACTCTACCACCATGGCTCTTGGTTAGCTCTAAGATGGGCCTTATTTTACCAGTTCTTTTGTTGTTATGTGCTGGGGAAATCTCTCTGACCTCCCAGGACCCAGTATACCAGGGTGGAGCCCCCCCCACGGTTGTGAAAGCTGTGATCTTCATGGGACAGATCACTAGGTGTTTGCCTTAGGGATTGGCTGGGACGGCTAAACTGCTGACCTTTTGCTTAACAGACAGGCACTTGACTATTGGGCCACCAGGACTCAAGACACATCTCCCCCTCCGCCAACATCTCAGAAATCAAGGTACCAAACACTTGACAATGTGTCCTGGATTATTTGGCAGGATCTTTTTTTTTCTTTTAGTGGTTTATACAACAGTAGTACGCCTTAAAATAAATACTATCTTTGAGCCAATAAATACAGCAGTAGTAAGAAATACATTTTTTAAAAAATGGTTTCCCCTGAGAAAATGCCCACAAGCACTGAAACCATTCCAAACTCTTCCTCTTTCTCTGACCCTGTAGAATTGTATTTGCAAATAAGAGAGACCTGAAAAATATGTGTGGCACCAGTGCTGCCAGCCGATCTCCATCTCTGCCTGTGTCCTGTTCTGTGACTTACAAGTTTCCCATTTTTAACACATCAATGAACAGTACAGCACACTCACATAAAACCACCAAAAAAAGAGGAGAAATGCTGCCAGTTAAGATAGGACACATTCTGTCTGATTTAGCCTGAAGAACAAGTACCTTGATTTCTGAGATGTTAAAATGTGCCTTGGAGTCAATAAAATAAAGTTCACCTTATAGTTAATTACAGAGCTTTAGCCTTAATCCTGGTGACACCAGGCAGTGTCACCAGGGAACTTCTTATTTTTCTGCAGTGGTTTCCCGCCAAGGGTCTTGGGGCCTGTCCCTTCATCTCCTTTAGAGCAGATCACAGAAAGAGCATGGTTTGGGAGACAATGACATAGGGTCCAGTCCTGGCTCAGTGCTGGCCAGCATGTGACCTCAGAGGAGTTACCAGCCCTCTGAGCCTCACTTAACTCATCTCTAGAATGGAACAAAAATATATCTTCCTCGAATTTCTCTTGAGTTATTTTCAACCTTAAAAAAGACATTGTTTGCATGTGAACCCTGTAAACCAAGAGTTACCAGACTTTAGCCTCCAGGCTAGATCTGGCCTGTTGTTGTAAATAACATTTTACTGAACACATCACAACTAAGTCTTTACATAGTGTCTATGACAGTTCTCACATTACAAGGCAGAGTTGAGTAGTTGCAGCCAAAATTGTTATGTCCCACAAAGCCTGAAATATTTACTTCTAAGCAGGAGTGGCATCCACTTCCTAAATAACGTGCCTCCAGAAACTCTAGGAACTTTGATAAATATTGATAGTTATAGAAAGGCTTCAGGTCTTTTCTTCATGGGGTCTCTTTGAGTTGTGCTTGACTCGACGACAATCAACAAAAGTCCTATACAGTAAAAACTTGCCAACCTCTAACAGAAACTAGAATACTGTATTACTGTTCTTGTTGGTAAGGGAATCCTAAACCATGTTTCCCATCCAGGACTCCAGACTTAGCCAGAAATCTGCATTTCTCACAACTCCTCATATGATTATATTATAACCCGTAGAGTATGGGAAATTAAGTGACTTCAGCAGGGAAAGCTGCTCAGAATTACCCAGGACCGTGTCAGGTGGCCAGGAGTAACTGTCACCCAGTAGGGATTAGTGTCTTGTTACTGGTGGTGCTTGGTATCCTGTTAACCTGTAGCCATGGGCTGAAACTGTCCATCTTCTGGCCCTGTGCCCTGCCAGGCCTGGAAGCCGCACATCGAGCACCTTGAAGCCTAGTCTTTCACACGTTCACTGACTTTTTACTTCTTACAGCCATGTCAAAATCTGCCATGAAAATATCCTCGGACTTACTCTCCAATCCCCTCTGTGAGCAAGACCAGGAATTCTTGAACATGGTGACGGCCCTGGACACAGCCATGAAGCGGATGGATGCCTTCAACCAGGAAAAGGTGCTTTGGGTCTCGGTGTTTGGAGGCCACAAGCAGTACTTCCCTCCTCTTGCTTTCTCTGGGAGTGTGTTCATGTGGAGGCTTCAGTCTACTCCGTACCTGCATAGTCCTCTGAAAGGCCTTTGTGCTGTGAGGCTCTGCTGAAACATTTCCTGGCTGGGCTGCTCCAGCATAGCGGGCTTCCTGTGGCTCGGGAAATGCACATCATTCACTGGGGGGCTGTGAAGGATATTGATGGCAGCTCTTCTGTCCGTTAGCCTCTAGAGTGGGACTGACTAGCATGTCTTAGCTGGTTACCCAGCATTCTTCAGTGAGCAAGGCCATCATGTCTTGGCAGACAGCGGCTGGTAGGACAAGATCTGACCAGAGGCCAGGGAAGGGCTGAAATATTTACTTCTAAGCAGGAGTGGCATCCACTTCCTAAATAACGTGCCTCCAGAAACTCTAGGAACTTTGATAAATATTGATAGTTATAGAAAGGCTTCAGGTCTTTTCTTCATGGGGTCTCTTTGAGTTGTGCTTGACTCGACGTTACCACCCCTGCCTCCCTCCAGTCAGTGGTGCCCTCTTACTGCCTGTTCCTGCTCTGCTCTGCTTCATTTTTAGGCCTCTCAAAGGATCTTCGGTGGGTGCCCCTTCTGGAGAACATGGAACCTCCCGTTTTAGGAAAGGCCTAACTTCTCCCTGGTTTTGATACCATCATGTTTTTCTTTTAACAGGTAAACCAGATCCAAAAGACCGTGATTGAACCCTTAAAAAAGTGAGTAAGGGTCTTGAGAAAAGGGACCAAGGGTCTCAAAGAACTAGGCTCAGGGCACTTATTAAAAGGTGGGAAAACCAGACATTTAGAGGGGCGGTAAATCCATGCAATTGCACTGTAGGCACCAGACATTATTGGTAGCAGCCTGTTCCCAGATTCAGAAGAGGGCTGACGGGACCCTCAGCTGGCTGTGCCCACTCTGGTGTCTGTGGCCTCAGAGTGCTCCAGGTAGCTGCAGTGTCCCCGCAATTGCTCAGGAATGCCAAGTAACGGAAGGACCTTGTTGATCGTTCCACAGCGGCCCAACTTGGTTCCAGTGGTCATTTTGCCTCTTTTCCCTTTGTTCCTGATTGAGAACCAGTGGGACCAGAGCTTGCTGAACTAAGCTAGCAGAGATCTTGGCCAGCCCTCAGCGGAGATGAGCGAGGTCTTTCATCTCCCTCAGCCGGATTGAGAGAGCAGCTGCCTGCCGCACTCAGCTTTTGAAATGTGGGGGTGGCCGCACACGGGGAAGGGAGCGGCAGCCTGGTTCTGCCTGGGAAGGCCCCATAATTCATGGTCTGTCGGGGTCAGGCCTTCTTCTGTGGGACTCATCTTCTGGCAGGCAGGGCTCTGGTCAGTGATCAGACAGACCTCTCCCCTGAGTCCCGAGGGGGGAAGTGAGCGGGGGGGACAGGCAGAAGCATTGCCTTGAAGCTCCCGAATCACTTCATCTCCTTCCCTAGCCTCGCCCAAGCGGCTCTGACCTAGAAAGGCTCCTGCTGCAGCCCAGCAGCTGCACTTTATTACCTCTTCTGTGGTGGTCCCTGGCAGTTGTCTCACCAGGGCCCTGGGTAATGAGGTTCCGCTTAATTATCATTAGTCCTGGATCAGGGCCCAGAGGTAGATGAAGAGAGCAGTTTTTGATCCTCCAACCCCTGGTGTTTGGAGGTTGTTGAGCTATTCATTCTCTATTTAAGGCCAAGGGGTGAGGTGGGGTTAGGACAGAGTTCTCCTAACCTCTTAAAGCTGTTTTTTTTCTGAGCAGAGTCTGTCTGGAGGCTGAGGGCTGGCTGGGAGGTGCGAACCTCGACAGGGAAGGCTTTCCCTCCTCCTTGCCCTTTTCCACTGGTCCCCTTCCCAGAGTGGGCTTTCACAAACCCTTCCTCCTCACTTTGGTTTGGCCCCAGCTTTCAGGGTCAGCTGAGGGAGCTCAGTATTGAGGAGGCAAGAGAGATAGCCAGCTGATGGGTCTAGAGGAAGGTGTCCAAACGGGCTAGATTGTTGTGGCTTTAAGCTCTGGCTTCCAGAAAAGAGGGTTGATAGGCACACGGGAAAGAGTACAGGCAGCCTGGAAGGAGTACATGCAGCCGGAGGTGAGCGGAGCATCCCCGCCCTAGAGGATTCGCCTGAGCGAGGACCCAGGGCTCTCCTGGGTCAGCCAGGCTGGTACACAAGCACCCACAGTCCCCATGGCTGACGGAACTCAGCAGGGGACACCAGCTCAGAGAACTGGGGGCTGACTGCTGTCTCGATTTCACAACCAACGAGGCGGCCTTGAAATCTGATCTCTGGCTTCTGGAGCTAGAGCCAAATGGAGAGAAATCCCGGCTGCTTCCCACCACCGTGGCAGCCCACCACCTGCCAGGAAGGTGGGTGAGTGGCAGAGGGGGCAGGCGGTCTCCCAGAGCGGATCCGCTGACCGCTGCGTGAGCCCCTCAGCCTCAGACCTGCAGGCCACTAGCTCCGACATGCGATTTCCCCTGACCACAGACAGGCCTGTCGCCTCCTCCCCATTTGCTTTCTCTTGCCAGGAGAGAGGCTCCCAGGGACCCCAACACCGGAAACAGGAAACTGTAGCTTTCCTGTCCTCTGATGAAGATCATCGCCACATGGCCACCCAGCCACCCCCAAGCCTCCTCCCTGGGGGCTCGGCCTCTAATCCCCTGTCTCTAGACCCAAATTCACATGGTCGGATGGGGATGCTTTCAATTTCCCTTTCCTGGTGGGTGGAAGATCCCGGCTGTGTGGGCACAGATTGAAGAATGGCAGGCATTCCCCACCAGGCCGGCTGCTCCCAGCCCACCTCCCAGCCGGCCTCTCTCCCTCCCTCGCTTCCTCCTCCCTCTCCCCCCTTCGCCCCGCACTTGCCCAGGGACGGTATTTGATAACAATTCTTGAGACAGGCTTGAAATGGGCAGTAGTCACTGGCAGAACTTTTGAGAGTGTGTGATGGGGGCCTTGCTCTGCTCTCCCTCGGAGAAATCCAGAATAAAGGTGGTGCAACTTTAGGAGCGGATGGCCTAGAGGGGACACCATGACAGTGTTCTCAAAAAAGAGCAGCCAGGTGCAGTGACCGCCAGCCATGGAGCAGTGTGGCAGCAGGGAGCCTGCCCTACCCAACCTGGGACCTTGCTCAAGTCACCAGGCTGCTCAGTCCGTTCATCTGTGGGATGAGAGACTTGAGTGGAATTCTCTGAACGATCGAGTTGGTGCTTAGGAGCGGAGGGCGAGCTGGAGAGCGGACTGTCCTGCCACTGTGGCCAGGACCTCGCTTGTTCCTTCTCGCTATTAAGTGCGTGGAGCGAGGCATTAAGCAGAGTCTGAATCTCAGCCTTGTTTTTCTTACGGTAGATGAGTAAAAGTATAGACTCCATGCCTGAGATAGACTAGGTGCCCACCCTCTCGTCCTTCTGTTAGTCAGCAGGGCTTCGGTGGAGTTCCAGAGGCATGTCTGGGAGAGGCCCTGGCACCAGGGACCAGCCAGTGCTTGTCTTCACCACCCCTCGCTTTCCTGCCCTGCTGGCATTCAAACCCCTGATCTGAAAATGGAGGAAAACTCACTAACTCTTGGGGGGAGAGGGGTGTTTCCTGCTCTCAGATGAGCTCCTTGCACACCTCCAGCACAAGGTTCTTTCTACTGCCTGACACTTGGGCCTGGAAAAATCTGTTCCATTGCTTCTGAGTCAAAAAGGAGAGATTAAAACCCCTAGTCCCCCCCACCCTCATCAGTCACCTCCAGATAAGCTTTCACCTCCTCCCCAGCCCTGGCTTAGTTTACATCTTTAACCTGAGGATGTAGAGGCAGCCCCTACTCCTGGGGGATAGCCACTGCCCGGGGTGTACAAAGGCATCCAAGTGGGAGTTGTTAGTAAGTCGTCTCCAGCGCCCCCCACAGAGGCTTCCTGTGGCATCTTGGGCTGGCTGAAGGACGCTCTTGTGGGAGGCAGACGTTATGGTGAAGAAGTTGTTTATCCCTGGAGTTAGGTGACTAACTGAACAGCCCTAAGCAGTACCACCACCTCTGTGAGATTACAGGCAGCCTTGGGTCTCGAAAGCTGGAACCAGAGCCCTATGGTGATGGCTAGAAACACAGCCATTTGTACCCCACCTGTCCCTTGAGGTTATTGAAGAGTATGTAGGAATCTATAACCCTGGTGTATCTGACTCTGGCCTCTGGATAGAAACCCCGGTTGACAAACTAGGAAGAGAGGTGATGAGGATGAGCTAAGTTGAGAATGCTGCTGGAGTCAGAGTTCCTGGATGAAGGGCTGCTTGACCCCTGACATAGTGAGGGCCCCAGCTTGTGTCTCTAGAATGCATCCTACTACTCCTCAGTATCTCACATTGCTTGATTTGTGAAGTAGGTATGGTGGAAGAGGTTGTAGCACGGGAAAGAAAACTCTCCCCCTGCTACTTCTGTTTTCATTCTAGTCCTGTCTGCCTGCACTTGCCCAGCACCTCCCCAAGCAACCAGCAGAGTGCAAACAGGCCCGACACTGACGCCGTGTACACAGCAGACCACTCTTAGCACGGGAATCGGCATGGCTGCCAGTAGCCCTTTTCCAGTTGGGATGGAAGGGGAGGCAGCTGTGGTCGCTTCTCAGACCCAACTGCACCTGCTCCCTTGAGCCACATGCCTGCTCAGCTGCCGGTGACACTCCTCCCAGGAAGGGAGAGCAGCTCCCCTGGCAACTGAGACTCCATCATAGCAACTGCTGGAGGCAAAGGCAATGAAGCCAGCTCTCCCAGTGGCATCACTCATTCAGATTCAGACAGTGGTGACCTTTTGTCCTTGAGGTGTCTGGTTCCTACATCCAGTTTGTAGAGCACCGACTGAGCCTACTTCAGCTGGGGAAATTGTCGGTCAAATGTCGGCTGGATTGCTCTGTGTCGTGCTCTGTGGCTGAGGCTTCATGTGCATCTGGGTGGTTTTGCCCTCTTGTCTAGTAGTTCCTGTTGGGTAGCGAGCTCACTGTGGACACCAAGTAATTAGAAGAATTCATTTGAGTGGCTTTAAACCCTTTCATCAAAATTTACTCTTGATAGCTTAGTGCTTTGGTCAATTTTACATTCTTTTTTGTAGCAAAAGTATTATTCGTATTATCTCACCTGTTCCTTTGACTGATGGAGGCTTTTAAAAACTAATACCTGGTCATGTTCTTTTAAAAGACAAATATGGGAAGTCACGACCTGAGGATGACCCAGGACCTCATAGACCAATGTTTATTAAAGGCTGAAAATCAGTAAGTGGTTTCTATCCCAGGAGAAGAGCCTCAGCCTTGCATCTGCTTGTCTCACATCTGCTCAGAAATAGTTCCAGGACTCTCTTCTCCTTATCCCAGATCACCAATTCGAGCTTCTGAGTAACCATGGGTCAGCAGTCCCCTCCACTGAAAACGGACAGACAGATCTATGACAGTTCCTTTTGACTGGCTCCCAGCTTACATGTCCATCTTCACTGCTGAGCCACAGTCTTAGCCCTCCAGCTTCACACTCTGGGATCTTCTATCCTGTGTCACTGTCCTGTGTCAGAAAGCCTATTTGCAAATTTTTCTTGTTTGTTCCAACATTCCAGGGCCACAGAAAGCAATCCTGCCTTGTGCCCATCTCCAGATACCATTGCCCATCAGGACTAAAGGAGATGCAGTCACATTAATTACACCCAGGGAGACCAACAATGCTGAAGCATCTATCATTTTTATTAACCCATTCCTTGGGGAATTTCCCCTTTTTATGATGAGAGAATGACTTTGAATCATTTTCCTAAAATACCTGATTTGATGGTGTGGGTATTTCAATGGCAGACCCATTGGATTTCTGCCTTTCCCATGTCCCGTTGGTAAAAAGCGCCTTTGGCCAGGAATAAGTTCTGATTTCAGTTCTGTCACCTGTTAGTGGCATCATGAGAGGCTAAGGATACCAGAGAACTGGAACATTTGAGTTCTCTTTGGGAATGACTGTATAATTATGATCTTGGATAAGTCATTCCTCTGGCTTCAGTTTCTTTCCTTTCTTAAAAATGAGAATAAGGATATTGGACAGGCAACTCCTGAGGTGCGGCTAACGCTCATGCCTTCACTACAGGTCTAGTTAGCCACACAGAACCTTAGCAGTGATGCTTATGGGAGGTGGGCAGGGGTGGTGCTGTCGGCAGTGGAAATGGCAGCATCATCCATTGCCCATCACATCTCATTCAGGTCCAGTGGAGTGACTCTTAGCCCTATCAGCTTTCCTTTGACCTCATCCCCAAATAGCGTTTTTGGTAACATAAGCTCCAAAGAGTCAAGGCTTAATCTGTCTTCTTCATTGGCTATCTCCTCAAAACCTCAGTCTAGCACTTAGTAGGTATCCAGTGTATTTCTGAACATGCGATGAGCTTCCAGCTCCTCTGATGATCCCGCTTTTGTGTGGCAGGTTTGGAAGTGTCTTCCCAAGCCTCAACATGGCAGTGAAACGGCGGGAACAGGCTCTCCAGGACTATAGGAGATTGCAGGCCAAAGTGGAGAAGTATGAGGAAAAGGAGAAGACAGGACCAGTGCTGGCTAAACTGCACCAGGTACCAGGGAGAAAGGGGTGCCAGGGGGCTGGATAAGGGCAGGCAGGAGAAATGGGGGACAGGGCCATTGTGGTCCTGTGTGTGACGCCCCTCCCTTTACCTGGAGACCAGCTGTGGACCCAAGATGTCTGAATTTTTTACACACAAACATGCTGTCATGAGTGAGCCAGCCAGAGCTTTGACATAAGGATTTTATTCTCAAGGCTCGGGAAGAGCTTCGGCCCGTGCGGGATGACTTCGAAGCCAAAAACAAGCAGCTGTTGGACGAGATGCCACGGTTCTACAGCAGCCGACTCACCTACTTCCAGCCTAGTTTTGAGTCCCTGATCCGAGCCCAGGTGAGGCCGCCGCCTGCTCTGCATGATGGCCCAGTACTTTTTCCCCTGGGAGATGGTCAGGGGCATTGTAAACACAGCTCACTCAGTGGCTGCTCTCCACACTGAAAGGATAGCATAGCCGTTCTCGGAAAAAAGAACATCACCACCGAACCCTACTCTCTGTGCCCCATCATGCCCCTCGGTGGAAAAAAAATCAGTACTAGCATGTGGGGGCCCAGGAGAGTTCAGGATTTTGAATTATTTTTTTCTTGAATTTCTGATTTGGATTCTACATTGCTCTTTGATTAATCCCAGATCTAGGATGGTTCAAGACCTTAGTGCTTCTCTCTCCTCATATTTTACAAGCAGCAAAAAGGGATCAGGGAGCGCTTCAGCTTCCTTCTCGCTGTTGGTTAACAGGTGCCTAGTGTGCCTGGGGAGAGACTGAGAATCCAAAGTCCTACCAGGTGAGGCAGTCGAGCCATTTCCTGAGAACCCAGCACCCTTCTTTTCCCCACCCTGGTTAGTCCTCTTCATTTGACAGGAGACTATGAAGAATCTTGATTTTACTGCTGGAGGGCTCACAGCCTGGGGAGAGGCAGCAGTCACAGGCAGTGGGCAGGCTGCACTGCTGGAGCATTAGGGCTCTCTCTCTCTCGGAGAGTTGGAAACGGCTCAGGACTCTCTGTCTCCTCATCCTCAGTAGTATAAAGGCAGAGTGTATGAACATAGAGCTTCAGTTCTTCAAGTCTTTGTGGTGGTGTTGGAATTTGCCATCAAGTCACATAAAACTCATAGCAACCTACAACCAACCAATCTGAACACTGTCCTATCCCATGTCATCCTCACAATCTCCTGTTTGCAAGAGAGAAAGGTTAGGGTGCCAAAGCCAAGAAAAAGCCTTTCCAGGTAGGACCCGCAGATGATTGCATGTTGTCAGCAAGACCCTGCCACTTTTCCCACCACCAAGCAACACTACTAACATTACCACTTACTTTAGCCAGTTTCTGTTCTTGGCCTGACTATCTGGCGCCCTCCTGTGGACACTGTCATTGCTCGAGATTCCACACTCCCAGGAGCCCAGAAGAGCCCGATTCCCAGCTCCCAGCCTGCCATCTCTGGAGAGCACCCCAGTCCACAGGCTGTGGTGTCAGGAACCCTGAAGCAAGAGCCTTTTCAGCTGAGATTTGTTGGTGACCCCATCCTTGGTCCTGTGTTATCTAGGGAAATGAAAAAAGAGCTGACTAGTGTATGGGTGTGTACACACCGCTCACCAGCAAGAGGAAGTCTAGGGAAACCACCACACTTGGATCTAGAGCATTATCTCTGCAGGTGAGGAGTTCTGGAAGCTTCTCCTCAGCAGCTTCCCCCATCTGACCTTGGACAAATGTGTCTTAAGAGTGAGACCTCTACTCTCCCTTTCTTTTGCTGTCACCAGCCCCCAGCAGCCAGTGTGCTGCCCTACCTCCTCCGTCAGTGTTGCTCACGGGGAAGCACCAGGTTCCCAGGCTTAGGCATGCCTAGTTTGGAGAAGTAGGGGGACAGGGATGCCCTGTAACCAAGCAATGTGGGAGCCGGGGGTGGTTTACTGCCTCCTCAGCACCAGCCTCCTCACCCTGCTGCCGTTGCCATTAGTCACTGGAGAAGTGAGCATTCCTGGTGATTCATGTGCGCAGTGCGACTGGAAGCGGGGCAGGCAGGGAGGACCAGCCCTCTCCCCAGCACTAGCCTAGGCTTGCCCTCAGAACCCCCATCCCCTAAAGTAACAGTACTTGGTCGACCTTCTTAGCTCCCCTCAGCCCACAAGACGCCTGGCTGTGCGAGTCTGGAGATTTCTTCAAAAGCAGCGCAACCCCAGGCCCCTGGCTTCGATGTGGGGGACCCTGCCACCAGCCCTGCCTTGACTAAATTTCTAAAGAAGCAACAGAGTTCCTTTTACCCCAAGACAACTGAGAACTGATGATCAAATTCAGGTTGCTTGATGAATAGTGTGCCCTCATTCATGAAGTACACACTTTCACTTTGTCAGGAAGTGGAGACTGAGGCAGAAATGCCCTGTGCTCTCCTGAGAAAGCTCCAGATCCTGAGCCTCCCCTGATGCTGGATCTAAGCAGCCCTCAGCCTCTGGTCATGGTGGTGCCTCATTCCTGTGTTCATCCCCCCTTCCCACTGCTGTGCTGCATAAAAGGAAACATGCAGATGAGCCCGGCCTCCCAGTTAACACACAGCTAAAGCTATGCATATCAGTGGTTATTCAAATAGAAACAGGAGACCAAGGTGTAATCTCTCAATTTGACATTTAGGGAACTACTATTTTGGAATCCCACCATTTCCTCTTTATAGACAAAGCCTTGGACTTTAGTTTAGATAACTCTAGTTGCAATGCCTGTCTCCTTTCCTCACCAGAACCAAGCCAAGGCTTTCTCCCATCCTTTCTTCCCTTTGGACAGGCTGCTACCCTGGAGACTAGACCAAAGTCTCCCCCCTCCATCCCCCCCACCCCCGGAGTGCACTGTCCTGATGGACTTTGAGCTGTGGCTTTCACCTTCCTGTGGTGCCATATAGTCTGTATCAAGTGAAGGAGAGGTACTAGGAAACCATAAGAGTCTGCACAGAAGAGTGGGCTGTCTCAGCTCTCTGGCCCTGCTTTCCCACCTGTGCTGTATCTAGAGGGGACTTTGGAGGGTTGAGTACTCAGGGAGCTGAGCATTTGCCAACCTCCTCTTGCCTCCCACCCAGGTTGTATACTACTCAGAAATGCAGACAATCTTTGGAGACCTGACCCAGCAGCTTGACCAGCCAGGCCACAGCGATGAGCAACGGGAGCGGGAAAATGAGGCCAGACTGAGCGAGCTCAGAGCCCTCTCTATTGTGGCTGATGACTGACTTCCCATCTCCAAAGACTGCTCCAACAGAAGCCACTTTTTTTAGCTTAGGCTTATGCTCCTCCCACTCTTCAGCCTAGCATAAGGCCTCTCCCTGGAGAAGCATGTCAGATGGCTCCTGCACTACCTGTCAGCCCTGTGACAGGAGCGAGTCTTCATTCCCTTGGTCACCAGCTCCAGGAGCCCCAAGCAAGCTGTTGTCTCCCCACTCAATAGGAAGCAGTCGCAGACACAGGTAAGCAGTGCAGAAAAACCTCAGGGGCTTTCTTTTTTTTATTTCCAAAAGAACCGTCCAAATACAACATCCAGGCCTAGGGCCATACACAGCTTTAGCCCTTAACAGGCTGGATTTCGTCAGCTCAGTTGAGGGTCTTAGCCTTGTGGGCATGTTGAGATAACGTCTACCTCCAAAAAGACTTGGCTTTTTGCTTCCTCACTTCAAAGACTCATGGATGGAAGAGGTCTGTTGACACTGCCCTGGGAGATAGAAGAGCTGTGATCCCCTAGCCATGAGAAGGCCTCTCACCCAAGCACAACAAACGCTGAGTCTGCCCATTTCTAGCCCTTCAGTAAGGTGCAGAAAGAGCCCCAAGTCTGTTAGGTTCCCTAGTTAACTGGGACTCTATGTAACTAATCATACCACACTAAACATCACAGATAATTCACAACCTCAAATAACAGTGGGTTTGTGTCTCACCTGAATTTGGAATTTTATTTTTTCAAGTAAAACTTTGAATAAAATGTCCATATGTAATTGTGTTTTAACTGAAAGGGCAAGCCATCAGATACTGTTTTGGGATTATGCTGCCCTCTGCTGAGCTGCCAAGACATCTACACCGCACTCTCCTTGATCGGCAGGCAGCAGAGAACACACAAGGCAAAGCTCTTTCTCACTGTCTGCTCCACCTTTTGGAGGTCCTGCCCCCCCGACTGGAACCAAAGCCAGGAGTAAAGGAGGGAGTACAGGCAAACCCACAGGAGGAATAGGGGAAGAGCTAGAGAGGACACTTGGTTTATTTTTGACTTTGGTTTATTTAAAAAAACAAAAAGCCAAAAAAAAAAAAAAACTTTATATATAAAGTCAAACTGAAACCACAGATTATGGAAAGAGGTGAGAATTATAGGGGGAGAGGCTGGGCCAGAGCCAATACCACATTCTGAACACAGGGAA